CTCAAGATTGCACAGTCAAAACCCTAAATTGCACTACAGTCAACTGTAGGGGCAAAATGGTCATTTGACAGTCAAAAGTTCAAATTTTTGGTCAACATATCATTTTGAAGCCACAAACATCATTTGATCAATGCTTGATCATGATTCTCAAAATTTGGCTCAGAAATTATCAAAGATGCAAAAGTTGCTATATTTGGACAGCTGAAAAAGTCAACTGAAATTGACCAGGGCATAACTTTCACATGGATTATCAGAAAAATTCCATCCAAAGCTAATTTTGAAGAGAAAGACATTTCCTACAACTCATCTTCATACTTCAAGTCCAAGAAATGCTCTCACAAAAAGTTATCAATTTCAACATTATAGGTCATTTTCAAAAGTCAACAAAAAGGGACTTTAAGTCAAAGGCCATAACTTGAGATTGGAAAATCAAAATGACATGGGACCAAAGGCATTGGTTAAAGGACTCAAAGACCTTTCCAAAATGTCCAAGAACATGTGAAAAGCTTAAAAATTGAGCAAGTTATGCCTTGTAGAAGTTGGGAAATTTTTGTGAAATGGCAAAAGTCAACTATCCTTGAAACTCCAATTTTTGACAAAAGGGCCCACTTTTTTCCACTTGATTCATCCTTGTCATGCCACACACGTGTCTCATGGTTAATTTCAAGACCAAATATTGATTTTTCTATTTTATTTAATTTTTGATAATTTAATTCATTTTAAATCTTTGAAAATTCAAATAAAATTTAAAAACCAATGGAATAGTGTCATGTGAACTTGGACAATTTCTATGTATCATGGGCCAACTCAAAAACTCAGGCTAGGGTTAAGTTTCACACTAGGTCTAGGTCTTGGCTAAAAAGGAGGAAAAATGGTTAAAGGTGAAAACCCTAGGACTTGTTCTTTCCTAAGCATGGATTAAGGTCAAATAGCAAGCCAATTCCATTCCATTATGATCACTAAGTCAAACCCTAACCATAATATGCCATATGATGCGCTGAAGAGCCTATTGACATTTTGAAAAATTGGCCATATAATGCAAAACTGATTTCAAAGTTAGAGAGAGTTTTAAGCCTCAATTCTTTTCCTAATAGATTCCTAGACAAACTCTGAAGGTGTGCCAACCCCTAACCTCAATCAAAACGCGAAGAAACGGTAGCTACAACTCAGACTGTGTCCCAAATTTTTTGAAATCGTATTCTCAATTCTAAGCATGATCATTGCATTTTAATTGTATATTCATGTTCCTTACAAAGTTTCAAAGCTAACCTTCATATTCAATTTGATTTTTGCATCGCGTATGGGATTTCACCATGATTGAAATTTAGGTTTTCAGAGTTCTTGAATTGGGGTTTCTCACCCAAGGAACAATTGGAACTCAAGACCATCACCATTGCAATCAGCGCCTAGAGACGAACAAATTCCAACCATCGCGCCTAATTTATGTTTGAAGCTGAGCTATTCGCTATTTTTTTATAGCTTACCTAATGCAACGCTCAGAAAACCGTGGCTGAAGGGTCTTGTTTCAGAAAAATGGGGAAGATGACTCCGTGTCAAAATGTGATAGGCGCGTTTGAAAATTCGCGCCAGGCCATCCACTAACACCATGTTTTGTTTATTATATTGATGTGTTATTCTATGTTAAATGAAAAGCGCTTGGTTCAGTGGTTAAGAGGTTGTGCTGGCAACGTTAAAGACCTGGGTTCAAGTCCCAGGTCTACACAATTTCCATATTATTTTTCTATTCAAGTTCCTGTGCAGGTTTCTCATTAAGGCGCACCATGTTCTACCATCACCCAAACGTCCACGTATCCCCTGAAGATGGAATCAATGGCATGGATCTGAGGAACGCAATAAGCCCCTGTCAAAGCATCACACAAGATTGGAAAAGTCAAACGGGTTTCAAGCCATTGGGCCAGAAATGCTAGGCCTATACCTCCTGAATTGGGCTACACCCCACCCTGGTTTGCCCAATTTATTTATTTTTCTTATATCTTCATTTATTTTAATTGTTATGTTATTTTAATTATTTGTTTTATTTAATTTTTTCAAAACATAAAAACACTCAAAAATCAGAAAAGACCAAAAAATATAATTTTTTATTTTAATTATTTTCTAAATAAATGCTTGTAATTACTTAGTTTAATTAGGGTATAATTTTAATCTTTTTTAATAAAAATCCAAAAAAATAGAATTTAGGTTTAATAATTTTTATTTTCTCTTTTTCTTTTTCTTTCTTTTTTTTTTTTTTTAGAATAATAATATTATTTATTTATTTTCATAAATTAAAAAATGTGTATAAATTAATTTAGAATCAAATTAGGTTAAAAGTCAATATTTTCATAATAAACTTAAAAAACAATAGAATTAGGTTTAATATTTAATTTAATTTCAATTAACTCCCTTTTCTCATTAAATCTAAAAAATACAAAATACCAAAAAAAACATTTAATCATTTAATTTTTTAATTCTCACTAACCATTAACTTATTGCAAAAGGGTCCAACGCCCTAATTTTGTTTTTAATTCCTTTACTTCGCGCATTTATTTTATATCGTTTAAATAATCATGTATATGCCCCAAAGCCATGTAATAGCTATTAGACATTTCTTTTCTGCAATTTATTTTAAATCGGGTCTGGATTAATTTGGCGTTGTAGACCCGCGCCCTTTGTAATAGCGTAGGACTTTTATCTTTTCCGCACTTTAAATTCCCGCACTTTTAACTGTTAAACAATAACATGAAAGAATGAATGCCCAAAAATAAAATCGAATCGTTAGATCACCAATGCATGACAAGACAAACAATAAACTGAAAATGACACACAATTCACACACCACCCCTAGGGTACGCTTCACTGTTGCCTTGCCCCTCGAAAGGTGGTCGTCGAGTAGAAAACGTCTTAGTAAGTCCTCATGATCCGGGAACCTGGCATGAGGGTAGCTTCTAAGGTGTCTTCCTATTGCTCTGGTGATCACCATGTCCCTAAACTCGAATTGACCCGAACACCTCCAACAGTGGTGCTACCTACCTCTCAATGGTGGGATGGCACTACTTCCAAGGACATTTACACAGACGAATTCCTTAGGGTAGGTAGGTTCTCAAGGATACTTGCTCTAATCAAAATACTTTTCACACCAACACACTTTCAAAAAAAAAAACTTTTCAAAACAAACTTTTCAAACACTCTGACGTACGAGTTGAACTGAAACTTTTCAAAGAATATTTTTGAAACCCACATTGAAAAGCAAGCAAACATTTTGAAAACACATTGAGCAAGTATCTAAGAGCCCATGGATAACCATGGATAGAAAGGGTGCTAACACCTTCCCTTTCTATAACCTACCTCCCGAACCGAGAGCAATCTCTTTAAAGGAATTTTTCTGTGCTTTTGTCCTTTCCAATTGGAGAAAATAAAAGACGGTGGCGACTCTTGCTTCCGCGACATTTCGCGAACCAGCGTTAAACAGTCAGTTCCAGATCCACCGATCACAATGTTATACCAACTACTTTAAACAGAGGTTGCTTGTACTTGTTTATCTTGTATATGTTGTCCATAATCAGCACAATAGGAAACATATTCAACAACTTTACTGATTCTTGATGGCCCTAGAAAATATCTCTCACAACTTCCGACTCATCTTTTTTCCTACTCCAGTAAACATAATATGAATCCTCTATCAGCTTAAACAACTATTGCATTTCTGTTCTAGCCCCCCCTTGTGTCTTTTTGTAAATTACTCTTGTGTTTATATATTTGCGTGATCTGAGTGACATTCTCCAGACCCCGCTCTTGCAATGACAATAATATGTGTTTTGGTGGAATATGACATTTTGTCAAATCAACAACATGTTGTTGTTTATCTGCATTTAGCCGACCTACAAACATGTGACCTTTAAATGTATCAGCTAAACCATGATTGTGAAGTCCATATTTTACATCAATGTTCCATCTAGAACTATATTTTGATGGTGTTGACCTAAGTTTGAAAGGGCACCCATATTTCTTACTAATACTTTGTGTTTCACTATCTCCTTCTTTGTATTTTCCACCTATATCACAATCAAATATTACTTTATCACTTCTTCCTCTCTTGCTTGTTTTGGTATCTGAACGAGTTATCATAACCATCATTTTATTTCCGATTCCAACCTCCATAATCCACCTTGTCGCCTTTTCTCTTGTAGCGAATCTTTATGTTGTTAAAAATATTTCAGTGGTATCAACGCATGTCAGATTTATTGCATAGCATCAAAGGAATATCCATACATATTAAATATAATTAAAAAAGTTAATAAAAAAATTACGTACCGATAACTTTAACAAAGAAATCCGTTTGTAAATACATCAAAATTAAAAAACATGGATGAATGTTATCCGGTTGGTGAAAATAGTGAACTGAATAACACAGACGCACATTATCCGATTAGATTTAGTGAACGAGATTTCTGCTTGCCAAGTTATCCGGTTGCTGTAAAATGTGAGCCGGATTTAATGAAACAAAGTATTCTAGTTAAAAATATTAACATATAAAAATTCTGCGTAGTATGTTATCCGATTCACATGAGTGGAGTGCACACTTATCACTTTCAGATGACTCGGATGAATAGTAAAAAAAAAAAGATAAAAAAAAAACAAATTTAAAATATTTTCAGAATTGTTAAAGTATGACATAACTGTAGGGATATAAGGTAAAAACCATGTTCACAAGGCCTTCCATTTTCACCTATTGGGCTGAAAACATTTTAGTGTGTGGCCCATGTAAAACTTTCTTTCCTTGCTTCTTAGAATGCAACCAAAGGAAGGAAAAGAGTACTATATTCCATAACCTTTCTTTCCTTTTTCTTTCCTTCTCCGCACTTCTTCCAAACTTAACATAAAACGGTTTCGTTTTATTAACAAGAGTGCGGCGTGCTTAAACTTATCTCGAAGGTTAAAGAATCTGCAATTCATCTTCACAACTCGATAATCGAAAAAGAGAGTTCATTCAAAACTCGTCAATGTCGAGATCATTGGTTCAACCAGTAGGTCAAAAGCGATTAACAAACGTAGCAGTTGTTCGTCTCAAAAAACACGGCACGCGATTCGAAATCGCTTGTTACCCTAACACCGTCCTTTCATGGCGTTCCGGCGTGTACGTATTCGTTCAATCTCCTTTTTGTTAACCTAATTAATCGATTATTCTGTAATTAATTGATGAATTAATCGCTTATTTAACAGTGAAAAGGATATTGATGAAGTGTTGCAGTCTCATACAGTTTATACAAATGTTTCTAAAGGTGTTCTTGCTAAGTCTAAGGATTTAAACGCTGCTTTCGGTACTGATGATCACTCCAGTATATGCTTAGAGGTTATTATTTCTTCTACTTAATCGATTCAACACTAGTTATTTTATTGATTCATATTTACTTTTTGATAAGCTTATGGAATTAATTTTTTAACCTAAATCATGCAAATTATTGTTGAAATTAGTTCGAGTTCTAGTTTTTCTTTCGTTTAACTTCTCCGAAAGTGCTTGGACTGTGTAAGGGTTGATTTATGAGTAGCTTAGTAGGATTTAGGGTCTGATTGGATAAACAGCTTATTTGCAGCTTATGGCACAAGTGCGTAACGAAATAAGTGCTTATGAATAAGCTTGTGTAAGCTGTTTTTATAACAAAAGATAGAATACGTTCAAATTGTTTTTATATATGTTATAAGTTGTTTTCAGTAACTATCTTGAAGAATTTATAGAAGTAAATTAAAAAAAAATGTATAAAAAATGTCTTAAGCTGTTTTGGTAAAGTCTCCCCAACAGTGTCACGAAACTTATGGTAGTAGATAAGCTTCAAATAAGCTAATCCATGCATGCCCTTATTAGGGTTTATCATACGACACAAGTACTTGTTAGAGTGTGTGAACTTTGAAAGAGATTGAAAAATTGTTGATATGTCCCTAAGCTTGTTCTTGTAGCTTATGAAAATGATTTACAACTTACATGAAAATTGTTTAGCTAAAATTTGGATTTGATTATAGAAATAACTTATACAGTTATACGTAAGTGCTTATTCAACAAATATATGACTAATTTGTTTCTCCAACTACATGTGAGCGAGTGTTTTTGGTAGAACTTATTTACAACTTTTTTCTGGTTTGAGAGTGCATATATTCAGCTTCTCTCATTTAACTGCTCTATGAGCACTTGAACTATGAGTGTGTTCGGGTTGGCTTATGAGTAGCTTATTTGGATAAGCACTGTCGCACTGTTTGAGAGGATTTATTACAATAGCTTATGATAATGTCCGTACGTTTTTTCAACTTTTTAATAAACTATTTAGGATAAGTTATGAAAACTGCGTGCAACTTATATGCATTGTTTAATCACATTTTCTCTTTGATTATATTAATAGTTTATACATAAGTGTATATATGATTAACATTTGGAATGAATAGTGTGGCCAAACTAAAGTGAGCAGTGCCGCACAATGAAGGTAGAAAAACAAAAGAGTCCGCAAAGACAACTGTTAGGGTTTATGTGTAAGCAAGACTCTGATATCAATGTAGAATTGGAGAATAATTTACAATTACAATTTTAAGAGTAATTTAAGTACAATCACTAAACTGTTTAAATAGACTATGATATGCCTAGTGAGCTTTATTGACTGACCGGTTATAATCTATACAAATAATTATGCAATATAAAAATATATTTACAACATCAGTTTTGTAAGTATAGCTGTACGACATATCCATAATTCTATAAGTTGTTTTCAGGAAGTTTTTCACTCTATAGCTTTTGTAAATAACTTAGGACTTGTATGCAAACAAGTTAACCACATTCTCTCCATGATCATAAGAATAAGAATAACATATATATTATAAGTGTATAATTAAGTTATTGACCCAAATATATACTCTTACAAAAACTTATAATTTTTATAAAATGGTTACTGAAGAATCATAAATCTATTCTAATTTGCAAATTAGTTGAAGTTAGAAAGCTGGGCTATTGTTTATGGCATGGCAAAGAATATGTATAATAACACTAGTGATTTAACTGTTAGTTGGGAACTTGTGTGTGAATGTGTTATAAAATGGTTTACTGTTGCAGATTTTAAAGAAGGGAGAACTTCAGGTTGCTGGCAAAGAGAGGGAATCAATGTTGTCTAGTCAGTTCAGGGACATTGCCACCATTGTAATGCACAAAACTTTTAATCCTGAGACTAAGCGCCCTTACACTATCAGCATGATTGAACGCCTCATGAGGGATATCCATTTTGCTGTTGATCCAAACAGCACCTCCAAGAAGCAGGTCTCTTGTCGAGTAATTCTAATAATTGTATATAATGCTAGCCTCATGTAACTGTTATAATTAATGATGTGGTGATAATTCAAGTAATGAAAATTGTATTACAGGCTCTGGAGTTGATTCAGGAGCTTCAGAAGCACTACCCTATAAGACGGTGTCCATTGAGGATACGCGCTGCCGCCCCTGAGGAGGAAGTACCTGTCCTTTTAGAAAAGCTGAACGAGTGGAAGGCAACCGTTATTTCTAAAGAAGGGACTGCTGCTCAGTTATCTGTTGTAAGTTCTTTGTTTTGCTCAGTTAGTTTTAAACAACTTTATTTCATGGTTCCGTTTCATTTTAAGTTAAGCAACCCTGGGTCTTCTGTTTTAGTCTTTTAGAAGCATTGTTATAGTTGGTGGTTACTTATTTTTATCTCATTTTCCAACACAAAAAGCGATAATCTTATGGACATGCATACCGTTAATCTGGATTCTGCTAACATGTTAAGAGAATCGATATGATTTCTAATTGGGTTGCAGGTTTTTGAATTAGAACCTGGTCTATATAAGGATTGTCATGACTTTGTTATGAATAAGATGCATGGAAGATTTGAAGTTCTTGCCCACTCTCTTTATGTGGACGGGGATACACAGGTGGATCAATACAATGATCATGAAGACATGCCTGCACCACTGCCCACAAAAACTCCTGAGTCCGTGCTTGAGCTGAATGATAAACTTCAGAAGCAAACAATTTCAAGTGCAACTAAGCCTACTGAGGTACAACAACCAAAGCAAAACAAATGCAACACATGTGATGCTGCTTTTGAAGATGCTAAGCTGTACAGGGAACACCACAAGAGTGAGTGGCACAAGCACAATATGAAGCGTAAAACTAGGCAACTCCCTCCACTCACCGAAGAAGAGTGTGCTGCAGATATGGATTTGTTTGAATCAAAATCTGATTTAAAGGATTATTCATTTTGAGTTGTACGTGACAGACACCGTTTGTATGTATAATTTGCCTTTGGTTAAAATCTTTGACGGCTTTAGACAAATGACAAATGCAGCTATAGATTTACACATAAAAAGTGTGGAAGATCCTGGTTTACACATAAATGTTTGCATTGGTGATTGAGTTAGATCTTATCTTATAGATAATAGAATGGATTTCTATTCAGTTAATGTATGTTTGTTTGGATTTTAGAGCGAATTCAACATATTACTTGGGATTTTCTGAAGTTGAATTGGTTGTCCTTCAAACACAATTTTAATCAATTCATTTCTAAGACAATTTAACCAAATTGGATTTATCGTTACAAAGCCAATCACTTGAATTTTTTTTGGTATGTCCAAGCATTTTAATTTTATCAAAATCACATTTAACATAATTCAGTGAGATGGTGAAATTTTATCACTTTCTTTTTTTCTTTTTATGATTTTATTATTGGATGAATTCGTCTTGACACAGTTTGAATTTTGGATCATAATTTCGCCCCTTTCTTTAAGCAGAACATGAGATATCTCACAAATTCTTGAAAGAAAATGTAAAATTATGTAATCCAAATTAAAGACGACAATTGATTCCTTTGTTCAGTCAATAGTCATGAATGATCCTTTGTGTATCAGGAACAATCTCCTATTCTTAAGCTTCTTAGGAGATCCAAATATTCATAATTTTTAAGAGTTAATGTATCTGTAAACTTTGCACTCCAAAATCAACAAAACAAATGCAAAAATAATTCACTTCTGTTACTTGGTATTAAAAACTATAGCTTCCAAAATAAGGTGAAAAATGTATGAAATGATTTCAAAAAGAAAGGAATACCTGGGTTGAATCAGGAAGTCAATCATCACGACAACGCAAGTAAGTTTGAAAATTTTTCTTGCGAACAATTTCTTCCTTCAACTTGCATAACATTAACATGGATTATATTGAAGCTTTCAACTTCTCCATCTTCATTTTCAGAAAGTTTAAAATCATAACAGAACAGAACATCTCTGTAATATTTATACATATTTATTGTTGGTATTGTTTGATTCACAAGTTAAAGGATATAAGAGAAGAGTGATGATATTTAGAGAGATGCAAGATGTAATTAGGGAAGATGTGGCTTGGTATTAATGATCTAGATGAATCATAACAATAGGCAAGAGATTGTATAGAGGAAAAAGTAAATGATAACTGAATTGACAGTTTGTTTGTTGCAAGTCACTTATTTGAAACACAATTGAATGCCACTAAATCTGAATTATAATGTCAATACTACTCCTCCTAATTTAGATTAATTAGTCTTCTCATTCCCATCAATCCTTTGAGACCTTCAAATCTCGCTGCTTTTTTTTTCTTGATGGCTTGGTTAGAATAATTAACTGCAAGTCGTAACACAGTTTTGTAATATTTAATTTTCAATCTATCCTTGATAACTTGGTTTCTTAATAAATGATACTTCATTTCTATATGCTTTCTCCTTCCATGACTCATCTCATTCGATGATTAACATAATCAATTGTTGATTTGTTGTCAATTAGCAGCTTGATTTTCACAACTTCACTAAACTCCAACTCTTCCAACATTTTCATCCATGACGCTTGGCAAATTGCATAAGAGGCTGCAACAGACTCTGCCTCACAAGAATAGTGACGACCATTGCATCTTTCAATTGAGAATAACTGAATATACATAAGTTGATGCATCTTTCACCCTATGTATGATGCAATCGTCGTCACTATTCTTATGGTTTCAAGTCTAGCACTGGTGCATATACCTCATTAAAGTCAATTCCAGATCTTTGAAGGAATCCCTTTGCAACTAGGCTTGCCTTGTAGTTGGCTATCTTGCCATTTTGGCTGAGCTTTAGCTTATACACCTATTTTACATATTAGATTATCTTTCTTGAGTGATCAACCAACTTTCATGTTTGATTATTCTCAATTGCTTTGGGTTCTTTCTTTATAGCTTCTAATTTTCATCTTTAGGGACTTGTTTCAGGTTAGTTAGCTCAAATGCAACCATCATGGTTTATTCAATCAAGCCATCATATACATCTATTGCGTGGTTAAAAAATATTTTATATTTTTTTAGCCTGACTAATTGAGTTTTGACCTTAGTTGATCTCTTCACCTCCTTTTCTTGCACAACTTCCAAAATTACATCATTTTCTTGCAATGTCGTTCTAAAATTACTTGAGTTTGCACCATTATGCATTATTATAGATCATTTCAAACTTTCATCTAGTTCCATCATTTATTCTCATCAAACTACAGATGTCTACTTATTATCGCCTTATTCTCATTATGTGATAATAGTTTATACGTATGTGTTGAGTGGTAACCCATGAGGATCATTGTCTATCTATCTTTCATCTTAATTGTTCAGGGACATGTATCTGAAGCAAAGTGAGCCAAAACTTATGAAATGAACAACACTTGGCTTCAAACATGTCCAAGTTTCATATGGTGTTTTGTTCATTAAACTCTTTGTTTGATATCTATTGAAGATGTGTACTACAGTTGAGGTTGTCTCTCCCTAGAAATGACTTCGCAATAGTTTTTCCTCGAGCATGCTTCTTGTCTGTTCAATATGCTTGTATTCTTTCTTTCACTAACACCAATGTGCTAAGGTGTGTAGAGAGTTATTATCTCATGCTCAATAAAATTGTGCAAACTCGGCTGAAGTATATTCACTATCACCATAAGTTCTCAATCTCTTGATGTCACATTTGACCTGTGTGTCTACTAATAGCTTGAATTTCTTGAGTTGAGTGAGTACTTCATTTTTCTTCTCCATCAATTAAATCAACATGTACTTAGTGAATTCATATATGAAGGTTAGAAAATAATAATTACCTCCCATTAAATTTACTTCAAATGACCCTAACATTTGAGTGAACAATCCCCAACTTTTGTTTTGACTTCATAGACAAAGCATGTTTGAATAACTTTCTTGTCCGCTTGACTATTTCAGCTTCAATTAAGGAATTGGACTGCGGTTCAATAAAGCCGTACAAAATACTTCATATGTTGGGAGAAGTTTCATAAGATATTTCTCGTGTTCGATGATGTTTTGGCTAACTGCAAACGATATTTTAAGAATGTTAATACCATAGTTTTAGGATTGACAATTTTTGTTTAAAATATGGTTCTGACTGTAACGCCCGTTAATTTAATTAATTATTTAATTAAATAAATTACGGATTAATGGTTGAAATGTTGTTGAAATTGTTGAAGTTGCGAAATATCGAGAAATATTGATTTAAGTTGTTAAGTTGTTATTTGGTTGATATTTAATTGATTGGTTGATTAATATTAGTAATAATATTAATATAGATATTAGAATAATATGATTTGGTTGATATTTAATTGATTGGTTGATATTTAATTGATTGGGCTCATTATTTGGTTGCATGTATTAAAGGTGGGGGTGTGAAAGTTAGGCCCAATAAGAATATCAATAATTATAAGGTTAAGCTATTTATAAGGAGAATTAGGTTTATTGAACAAGTCTTAGAGAATTTTGTGGGAACGTGAGAAGTTGCAGGGTTACAGAGAAGAGGCAAAGGTTGGAAGCTATGGCAAAGCAAGGTTTAACCGGTAGAATAGAGTGGTATCCAATCCAAGGTAAGGGTGTGGTTCTTGCTCTATAATTGGGTATATGATAAATGATATGTGGAGTTAGATTTGTATAAAATTATTCTTGTTTGTGTGGATTGCGTTGCAGAGTAGTTGTGTTCATATGTTGTTGTCTCTGTCAAATGGGGTTTTCTTGTGAGAAATTATTCTATGTTGATATAATTTGTTATGTTGTTGTGGTACTGTGTTGTGCTGTTGAAATTCGTAAACTGGTGAATCGAAGGAAAAATTTGGAGAAGAAAAACAAAAACTTTCAAAAGCCACGGGGAGAAGCCCATTCCATGCGGCACAAGCAGGGAAAAGAGTGACGACCGGCAGAAAAAAAGAAGTGACGACCGACAGAAGCATTATGCCGAATAACACATGTGGAGAGGAAGGGGATGCCGATCGACAGGACAATGGTGCCGAGGGGCAGTCTCAATTTTATTTTGTTTGTTTTGTTCTTGCTGTTGTAGTGGAGCCTTCATGTAGCAGTATTAGTATAAATTAGTAGAGACATTTTTGGTAGCAGTATATAGCAGAGTTATCAGTAGGATTAATTTGTGGAAATCAATATTTAGAAGAGATGGATTTAATAGGTTGCATAATTAGCTTAATTAATTATAGTAGTATCCCATTAGATTAATTTAAATTAAGTAGCAGTGTTGTTGGTATCTAGTAGAGGTAATGTGTTAGTTGCAGAGTTGGTAATAATTAATTAGCAGAGTTATATTAGTAGTAGTCTTAGAAATTAAAATAGCAGTGATGGTTTTAGTTGCAGAGACACTTAGTGATGGTTAGATGTTGAAAGTGTAGAAATTTAGTAGTAATAAGAACAGTAGATTTACTAAATTAGTAGAGATGTAATATTACATATAGCAGAGATATTTCATAGTAGTAAATAACATATTTCATTCAAATAGCAGGATTAGTAATGTTGGTGGAAAATCAATAGTAACTGATGTACAAATATTTGATAGTAGCGTAGTAACCAATTAGCAGAGAGCCAATAAGTACATTGGTACAAAGTAGAAATAATGGAATGATTAGTCGGTAATTAATTTTCCAAATTTGGTCGATTTGTCTGAATAATTATACGGAACAATTGTTGTGGTTAATTATGAAGTTGCAGGTGGTGAATTTTGTTGCATTTCCTCTAACTATTGGCAAGGATCAAATTGTAGGCTTGTTGCCAAAGTTGAATAGTTGTGGTTATGTTGTTGTTAATATTTGTTGTTGTTGTTGTTATGTTGCCTCTATTTATGGGCAATATTATATTGTAGGCCTATGACCAATGTTGATTTATGTTGAGATGTTGTGTTGTTGTGATTGTCGATGTGAATTCCTGTTGATATTGTGAAGTTGCAGAGAATTTT